TTTGTTAACTTAAACAACCAAAAACCTACATAAGATACTATTGAAGTTTACAAAAGGATATGAAGGATTGTAGTTTTGTTCATTTAAACACCCAAGTAAAGAAAAAGATGATGTAATTCATTACCAGTCTATAATTTAACATTACATATTGTTGATTAAGTAAACACAAAATAGAATAATACCATTATACTTATAAGGAACGAAAAATTTTGGTCATATGCATGGCTTTGTCCCCACTCCTCTCTCATTTACTTGTATTCTCCACAATGTCTTGCTCTTCAGTTGCTGAAGGTGCAAAGCTGAAAATAAATAGATAAACAGAAAGCAAATAAAAAGAATGATTGAATTCAAAGCACTTAATTTATCACATAAATAGAAGCATATATGAATAAAAAGAAATGGATGTGACCAAACGAGGTGTACTTAAACAATACAAAAGCATTCGATATTATCGCCAAGGTGGAATTTCTTGTAGTAAAGGATGCTTGAGAAAGTTCCAACATCATTTCCATAGACTTGGAAGCCATGTTCAATTACAAAATCGATTTGAAATACATACATCAACATATCTACACTGTTAGAACCAGTGACCACACAAAACTTTCCAACTCCAACATCAGTTAGTCGTGTCATACTAAATCTAAAGTCACATATACCACCTTCAGGATAACAACTTTCCTTGATAAACCTGTAAGATGCGAGCTCAAGGTCACCATCGGCATGAACAACAACACGATATGTATTAAGTTGAATACCATGAAAGACAACTACAATCTAAATTTTATCAAAATTTTGTCCATATAGGACTTTCAGATTAGTATTTTGATAAAACTCGAATTTTTGTTGCCATTAATAGTACTCAGCTTAGTGCATATCGTTTTAAAATTCATGACGACGGTGATCTTGAACCTATATCTTACAACTTTCTCAAGAAAAGTTTTATCCTGAATGTGGTAGAAGCGACTTTAAATCTAGTCTGACATGACTAGTTGATATTGGAGGTGGAAAATTTTGTGAGGTCACTAATTCTAACAGCGTAGATATGTATATGTATGTGTTCTAAATCAATTTTTTAATTGAACATCACATCCCAGCCTTTGGAAATGGTGTTGGAGCTTTCTCAAGCATCCTTTACTACAAGAAATTCCAGCTTGGGGATAATATCGAAAACTTTTGTATTGTGTAAGTATACCCCTTGGCTGGCCACATCCATTATTCTCATTCATATATGCTTCTACTTGTGAAAATTAAACACTTTGAATTCGATTACTCTTTTTATTTGTGTCCTATTTATCTATTTATTTCTAGCTCTCTGCACCTCCAGCAACCGAAGACCAAGACATGGTGGAGAACACAAGTAAAAGGGAGAGGAATGGAAACGAAACCATATATATGACCAAGATCATCCGTTCATTATAAGTATGGCGGTATTATTCTATTTTGTGTTTACTTAATTAGCAATATATAATGTTAAATTATGAATTAGAAATGAATTACATCATCTCTTTACTAGGGTGTTTAAATTACCAAAACTGCAATCTATCATATTCTCTTATAAACTTCAATAGTAGCCCTTATGTATATTTTTTGGGGTTTAAGTTAACATAACTACAAACTCATCCCATCCCTTGACAGAATGCAATAGTAGCCTAAGTATTGTTATAAATAGAATTTTGTCTATATACTATCTGTTAACAAACTCTAATACCACCAACATACTATATATTTGGTTAAGAGCGAAGAAAGATATAAGTTTGTATATAGTCATTGAGTGTATTTTCTTTTTTTATCCTAATAGGTCACTAGTTACCTATTAAAATATTGACTGTCTCAACAAATCACGGGATTTTAATTTTTGAGTTAATACCCAAAATCGTCCTCGACTATAGTGGTTTTTCTCAATTTCGTCCTAAACGACTTTGGTGACCTAATATCGTCCCAGACTTTTGTGTTTCGCTCAATTTAGTCCTCCATTTTTTATTCCATCAAATTGGTGTTAAATAAAGGGACAATTCAATAATGTCAATATTGATCTCTCTTTACTTTCAACTTGTGAAGTACGAAATTCCTCTTTCTTGTACGAATTACACCCAGAATTACTCCCGGACCTGCAAATCAAATTTTATATTCGCAGTTTTAGGAGTAATTCTGGGAGTAATTCGTAAAAAAAAAAAAGGATTTCGCAGTTTACATGTCTATGAGTAAGAGATGCCAATATTAAAATTACTGAATTGTCTATTTATTTAACACCAAATGGACATAAGAACAAATGAGGGACTAAATTGAGCAAAAACACAAAAGTCTGGGACTAAATTGAGCGAAACACAAAAGTGTGGGACGATATTAGGTCACCAAAGTCGTTTAGGACGAAATTGAGAAAAACTACTACAGTCGAGGACGATTTTGGGTATTAACTCTTTAATTTTTATAGTGAAAACTTGTGTGATTCCAGGAGCTGAGGATTAAATTTACTTATTCTAAGTGAATTGTAAGTTTTACCAGCCTATGGTCAGCAAGGAGGAATTGTGTTTTCAGTACTTTAATCTCATCAAATATTGCTTTCAAATATTACAATGAGTGTCAAGCACCTTGCCCCGATCATTTTTGGCGGAAACCAATAAGTGATCATCTCGATCATAGGCATGGTATTATTAAGTTGTCGGAATTTCTGGAGGGAATGAAACACATGAAGACTTTAAAGTCTTCAACACTACTTGTAGAGATTTTAATGTGATGCTCAAGTACAAAATGAATTATGAAAACATACATTAGAAGTTCTACATTGTAAGTATCGGTAACCACACAAAACTTATCCAAAACTTAATATTATTACCAACTATGAATACCAAAATACTGAAGTTAGTAATACTTAAAACTTAGTTGTAAGTCAAAAAAGAGCAATAATTATTATTAAAGTATTAATCAATAATGGTGAAACTCATAATTTAATGTTCCCAAGATAAGTCTCAATAGCTGGTCTAAAATAGGTTTTAAAGCCACAAGTGAAACATAAGATTAAAATATTTAAAGGAAAACCCAAGCAAGGTACCTTAATAGGCCATAATGAATCCAAATTTGAAACCAAAAGCAACCTTACCTGATGCGGCGCTGACGGGAGAAAGGGGAAGAAGCAGTAGCAGGCTCTCCACACGGCGATCTCGGCGACGAACTGAAGATGCGTGCTAGTCGCGTCGTCGACACCAAAAGATCGGCATCGTCCACGCAAGCTTGGCTCAGTAGCATCACGACGGCGACCGGAGGGGAAAGCCACCGGAAAAACTGAGGCTTCGATTCTCCGCCAGTAGCAGTCGCCTGAAAAACGACAAATCGGAGACCGAAACCAGAGAATAAATCCTACCACAGTTGTAAAGAATAAACAGAAAACTAGAAAGTTTTGAAAAATTACAGTTGTGGGGTGTTTGGGATCGAAGAAAAAGGCTAGGGGGAGGGGTACGGTGTGGAAAGAGAGCACTCGCACTCGCCGGAGACATACCTGTCATTCGCCGGTGAGTCCCAACTTTCTGCAACGTCGTTGGGGTGGGTGAGCAGAAAGATTTTGTTGGGTAGAATTAGCTGTTGTGTTTGCGTTCCTTCTTCACCTCCCATGGCTGATTTTGCTTCTCTTCGATCTCTAAACTACTCTTTCCTCTGGAGAAGAGAGCTTGCTTTTAGCTTGCACAAAAGGAAAAGTGATTCTATATGTATGTAGGCAGGGGGTTTTTTGAGTGTGAAGGGAGATTTGAAATTTCTCTGTGGCTTCTGCATGCTGGTTAAAGACCAGTGGGGAAACTGGGTACTCCTAGCCATTGATATTGATGTTGAGTGATGAGTCTGCCTGCAACACGTCAAGCAATAAAGCAGCTGAAGGCATGGCAGCTTTATGTGATAACTAGCCTGTAGTCTGGCCATTGCTTTGATCAGTTTTTTTTTTTTTTTTTGAAACCCATTGCTTTGATCAGTTATCACACAAATATACCTAGGATTCTGATGTCAAATAATATCGGAAACTAAGCAATTACATGTTGAAGCTATAGAGAGGAAGAGAGAATGGGAAAAATGCAGTGAGTTGTATTGAGTGTTGAGTACAATATAAAGAGAGAGGGAGAGACGGTTACAAGAGGGAAGAAAAGGAAAAAAAGATATTTTCATCTTTTATCTTTTTTTATCCTCCAACACCCCCGTAAGTTGGAGCGTGTAAATTCTACATGCCCAGCTTAGATACAAAAGAGCGATGTAATTCTAAATCAGCAAGAGACTTTGATGTAATTCTTTTCTTTTCTGGACTATCCAGTCTTTGATGTAATCCACATTTGCCATCTACAAGAACCGATGGATTCTCATCCATGGCATGATGATGAGGGACCTGCCACTGATGTATCTTAAGCCCATTTGGGTTTTCACAAGTCTCTGATTTTCGAAGAGCGTTCATTAGGAAAGACCATACTATCCTCCCATCTCCAGTGTGAAGTGCATAAAGTTTCCCAAATCCATTATGATCACAGGTCATCTTGCTTTTCCCAGAGCTTTTTAACCTCATTTGTTGTATAGCTGCCACATCATCAGGGGTAGCAAGCATCAGGGTTCCTTTTAGCTTTAGCAAATGTCCCTTAAGCCATTCAAAAGCCACATCAAGATTCGATCCACAATAAAACCAACATAATCCTGAGAGCAAAGAACAGTCTTGCCAAACTTTTCTGCCAAGTTCTTTGTTACATTATACGTCTCATCTGATGTATCTGCACCCCTGATGATTTCAACCAGTTTCATAATCGGAGGAGGATTCATAAAATGCATGCCAATCACCTGTGTAGGATGATGATTAGTTGCAGATGCCAAACAGGTAATGGAGATGAAGCTTGTGTTAGAAGTCAAGATTGCAGAGCTCTTCACAATCTTGTCTAAATCAATAAAAAGCTTTTTCTTCACAAATTCAGACTCCACAATAGCCTCAATAACAATATTCACAAACGGGAAATCTTCCAAATTCTGTGAACATTTTAGACGCCTGATTGCTTCACCACCTGATCTGCTTTCACCACCAGAATCCAATTATCCACCAAATGAATGAGAACATTGTATTTGCAGACTCCAGATGCTTCGCAGTACTACTTTCATCCGCATCCTCATTCTGACGCGTGTCCAAAACATAATCACCAGACTCTCCATCACTTCCTGAGCTCGAATTCCGAGGTCCATAATTCCCGAGTCCAGTTTTCGGCACAAAACTGAACGGCTTCTGCGAATCATTGGGCCGGTAAGAGAATTTAATAGAGGGGCCGGCATCGAAGAAAGTGCCGAGGCTGAGAGAGAGCTCTTTGGATTCGCCGGCGGCGATTCCTAATTGGAAAGGAAAGCTTAGGATGCTGATAGGGACCTTAGCCTGTTGGAGGATAAAAATGTAATCCTCCCCTTCCATTTTATTTTCCTTTTATTTCCTATTGTTTTCCCTTATATATAAACCAGTGTAATCTCCCACTCATCATCTTTCTTCTTCGCTTCATCTCTGCTTCTCGATTCACCAATGTAATCCATACTTCGACATGGTATCAGAGCGGCGGGAGCTCATCCACGCTACTACTGCATTTTCCGGTGCCGGAGAAGTCGATGAAGTGAAGCGACGCCGACACCTGACTAGTTCCTGTGCAATCTTAGTTAATCCGCAGAGGATTAGTTCTACGCAGAGTAGAAACAACAAAGTCCACGCTAGATCAACAGTCCGATCAGCATCAACACTGATTCCGCAGAGGAATCCAGAAGATACGGCGATCTCCACAGCCGTTCCGCAACGGAATGGAGGAGCTCGTTCGTCTATTCCGATCAATCCGCAGATGATTCGGGATTTGGAGCAATCAGCCGCAGCGGTTGTATATTTCCATTTCAAATACGTTCAGAGAGCTATAGCCGTAGCCGATCATCCGATTGCTCGAACCTCCCCAGCCGCAGAGGAAGGAGTTCGTAGCTCACAGTGGTTGAAGCAGATGGATCAGTTCTCCGATTCAGCCACAGACGTAGCCGTTCCGCAGCGGAAGGGAGGAGCTCCGTCGATTCCGATCAATCCGCAGAGGATTCCGATCAGTCCGGACGGCAATTTGGCCAATGTGCTTGATTCGCGCAGTGCGATTTTCAAGGACCGTAGTCTGAGCTTTCCTGAGAAGAATCAGTTTCTCTGTGGACGGCCGCCTTGGCAGGGATACCAGGGCGGGAACAAAGGTTATATTGAATTTTATGATGACATGTCTGATCTCTCAATGGAGCAAGGCAATTCTGAGACAATTCTGCAGGTTCTGAGCCGACTTTCTCTGGAGAAAGAAGAACGGCTTTTGGCAAATATTTTGAGTAACATTGCAAAGGAAGGCGGAGAACATGTGTTAAGGAAGTATGCAGAATACATTCCACTCCTGTTCGAAGCTTGCAAGGATCATTCAAATCCACACATTCAACAGATGGCTGCCTGTGCAATCGGTAAATATGTTGAGTTTGATAGAGAAACATTTAAGCATCATCTCCGAGATGGACTGTCCAGCTTAGAAGCAATAATAGTATCTGGTGGATCAATTGATGATCTAGAACACTGGATAGCCAGAGGTTCTGTTGTTTCTGATTTCCAGGACTGTTGGGAGAAGAACAGCATTGATAATGTGAATATAAAGACTTTGATGAAGATGAGGTCTCAGATCTTCTCAAATTGTTCTGCCTGTAAATTGAAGCTAGGAGATTTTGATGGAGCGCTGTTGCAGAGGTTGCAGCAAACCATCCGTTTGAGCTTGAACCAAATGGTATTGGGAAACTATGTTCTGAAGTTTTTTGGTTCTGTTGTTTCACTTGAAGATATTGCTTCAGCTTATTGTAAAGCAGGTCGCGATCCTTCTATTGATGGTGACATAATCTGCAATCTGCAAGCTAGCACATCTACAACTTCAAGTTCTGAGAATACAGAGAAGAGTGACACACTTCACAATGATGTTGAGGAATTTCTGTTTAAAATGCTTGGAGATGGCTTTTCATTCAATATGAGTACGATCCAGAATGTTGTTGGTCAATGTGGAGTTGAGTTCATGATGAAGGATGATGCTTCATGTTGATGGTTTCTCTAGCAGAGCAGAATCTGATGGGTGTACAAGGAGGTCCACCATCCTTGGTGGACTCAATGAGTAGCCTATGTTTGCAGTCCTCTCTATCTTTTGTGTTTAAGCTGGACATGTAGAATCTACACGCTCCAGCTTACGGGGGGGTGTTGGAGGATAAAAATGTAATCCTCCCCTTCCATTTTATTTTCCTTTTATTTCCTATTGTTTTCCCTTATATATAAACCAGTGTAATCTCCCATCTTTGATAATCAGTAATATCATCTCATCATCTTTCTTCTTCGCTTCATCTCTGCTTCTCGATTCACCAATGTAATCCATACTTCGACATAGCCCTCAACAATGGCTTCTGGTCCTCACGAAACTTGATTGAAGCTTTCATGTTTCGAAGCAGAAAAACGCAGATTTCACTGAGAAAGTGAAGCTGAAATGTGGTGTAGTGATAGTCGTAGAGTGGTATCATGGGGGACTCGTCACGGCTCATCACTAGCACGGATACTGAGATGACGATGAAAGCTAAATTCCAGAAGAGATCGAGTAGATACACTTGCCTTCTCTCTCTGCTTCTTAGCATCCGACAGCTCTCTCCATCCCCTTCTTCCAACTCTAATGAAATTTCATCAGAAATGTTGTGTTCTTCAGAGTATGATGAGTCTTCCGGAGCATAGGTTGACCTGCAGAATTTTTCACATATCGACGAACTATAATCGAAGAAATCTAAACCGGAACTCTCCTGGAGAATATCCGACTGAAGCTCAAGGTATGCCGACGAGTTGTCATCGAAAACCTCATTGTTTATAGACAACTTCAGCTCGATCGCACTTTCAAAAACTGCAGAACTCGACTCCACACACGAACAACTATTTCTCTGAACGAATTTCCTATCGAGATACGCAACCGCTTTGGCTGGACCGGAGAACTGCTCCGTCTGATTGAGAATCGGAGAACTGCTTCGGAGAACTGCTCCGTCTTCTTCAGATTGAGAATCGGAGAACTGCTCCGTCTTCTTCAAATTGAGAATCTCATTCGGCAGATCAATTCCTTCCTTCCGCTGCGGAACGACTGTGGAGATCGCCGGGGAGATTCGAGTCTCCTTATCTTGTGGATTCCTCTGCGGAATCGTTGTTGATGATCGACTACTCTGCGTAGCAATCGGACTGATTCGCGATGCGCGAACAATAGATTTATTGCTACTCTGCGTAGCGATGTTCCTCTGCGAATTGATCGGAGAAGATCGCAAAAACGATCGAGCATCAGGAGTCGTCGAATGGCTTCTTCGATTGGACTCTCTGATGCCGGCGGCGGCGGCGTAAGTGAACCACCGTGGTGGCTCTGATACCATATCGGAAACTAAGCAATTACATGTTGAAGCTATGGAGAGGAAGAGAGAATGGGAAAAATGCAGTGAGTTGTATTGAGTGTTGAGTACAATATAAAGAGAGAGGGAGAGACGATTACAAGAGGGAAGAAAAGGAAAAAAAGATATTTTCATCTTTTATCTTTTTTTATCCTCCAACAAATAAAAGGCAATGGTTTAGGGGTTGTTTACTAAAATGGAAAATTGGAGGATTTTTAAAAAAAATAGAGAATTAGAGAAGTGGAAAAATGGAAAATGAAAAACTTGTTTACTAAATTTACTCCTCCAAATTCATATTCTATTTCCATTCCCCAAATTCCTTAAGGAATTTGGAGAATTTGGAGAGAACTAAAACAAACATCTCCAAATGGAGGAATGAAAATAGCAGTTGAACAGTGTCTCTTGACCTTGGGGTCTTGGTTTTGAATCCTGTTGGAGTGTGTTTTCCTTTATCAACGGGCAGCGCCTGAGTGAGGGCTGAGGCTCTTCTTCTTTAATTCATTATTAATACACACTTGTCACTACTTTTCTTTCTCTTATTCTTTAATTTCTTTGATTATTATTATTATTATTATTATTATTATTATTATTATTATTATTTGAATATTATTATTATTACTACTTTGATTATTATTATTATTATTATTATTATTATTATTATTATTATTATTATTATTATTATTATTATTATTATTATTATTATTAGGAAAAATTGCATTTTTTCTTTCTCTTCTTCTTTAATTTCTTTGATTATTATTATTATTTTTTGAGTATTATTATTATTACTACTTTGATTATTATTATTATTATTATTATTATTATTATTATTATTAGGAAAAATTGCATTTTTCGTCCCTAAGTTATTAATAGACGGATGTTTTTAAAATAACCACCATCTTATATATTTGTTATACTACGTCATTTAATAGACAACATGCTTTTAAATAACCATCGCACATACCTTAATTAATTTTTTACGTAGTCATACACCTTAAATAACCACCGACGATTTTTTTTTACATAATAATAATATTATTATTCTAAATCAAAAAATGAGAGAAATGAAAAACTGAAAGAATGGAGAATGAAAATTAGAAAATTGGAGAAATGGAAAACTGGAGGAATGGAGAAGGAAAACTGGAGAATTGGAGAAATGAAAAACTAGAAATGAAAAAACAGAAAAATGAAGTAAACGACCCCTTAACCTTCCATTTTCTTATTTCACAACAGTTTATACATTTATACAGTCCCACCACCATCACGCAATCAATTTACTGTTTTTTTTTTCTTTTGAAATCAAAGAAATTCATTAAGAAAAATACTACATGTACTCTCATTTTGTACTTTAACTTTTACTCTTACATATAAAAGATAGGGAAAAAAATAATTTATCTGTCTGTCACAAAAGAGACACATCAGAGAATAAAAATTTAAAAAGTATTATTTAGGAGTCTATATAGTAGAACTCATTCATTGATAACGGTGTTGTAAATCAAAACTTAATCTGAGTCTTGTGAAATTGTATCACCAGGCTAGCTAACCCATTTCATTAATAATGTTTGTATATATACCCATGTGATTCATTAATAATGTTTGTATATATACCCATGAGATAACGGTGTATACACAAATAACCTAAGTATGTTCTTTAATATCATAATAAAATAATGACCACATATTAAAATAAATATGTATAACAATTCGGATATTATTGCTCTTTAATATCATTTGGAAAGAATCCATCATTGTCAGAATGTTAATTTTCAGATCGTTACATGTCACATGTGATTCACGATTTTTTTTTGGAAAAACTATTTTCTCCCTCTAGAAACGTACGAAATTTTTAAATGTTTTTTTTTTGAAGAATAAAAAAAAAAATGTTTTTGTGTTGTTTCTTTTTAACAAAAAAAGGGAGATGTGCAATACTATTTGGTTCATATTATGTAACTAGTTTTTTACGCGCATTGCGCGATTGGGATAATGCCCAATGCTTTTTTTTTTAAATAAGTACTTTAAAGTATATTAAGACAGGATTATATTGAAATTGTTCATGCATAGATAATTGAAGGTTGAATTTGCGTATTTAAATAGGTAATTCTTCTCCCAAAGGTTGAGTCCCCAACCCCAAGGGCCCCCCACACTCCGACTCGACAGAGCATTGTGGGAAGTTGTAAATCACGGTGACTCAATGGTTCAGCAGACAGGGCCAAATGCTGATACGCACAAGGAATCTGCCCACTTTGGACATAATTCCGCCACTGCCGCCGCCGAGGTTCAAAAACCTTCGTTTCTTCTCCCAAATACTACCCACTAAACCATTGAGCTAAGCTCGTGCGGGTTAAATAGGTAATTCTAAGTTTACAAATGCAAGATAATATAGTCAAGATTGATTATAATTGTCAATAAAATAATTGTATAGGTATGGTTGAAACCAAATACGGGACATAAGGGAGAACAAATAAAAATTAGGACATAGAATATTAAATATATACTAATATTGTTTGAGGAGATTCCGACATTAGGATTTGTGGTTAAGTTCTATTAAGACTTTAATATTAGAATTAGATTAATGGTGTAGTTATAATTCTATATTAGACTTTAATATTAGAATTAGACTAACGGTGAATTAACAGAAAATTTAAATGGATAATCATATAATTAAGGATAAATTAGAAAATCTTAAAAGAAAAAATTAAAACTTGAACAATATGAACCATTCATTTGATTTAATAATTTGGCGGTCATTTTTTCTACCCAATGTTAATAATTAAATAAATTCGCTGGTCAAATCCGCTAGTATAATCCGCTAACTACTGATTGTCAAACAAGGACATTGCGAGGTAGTTCTCACTTCAATTTGTTGTGTGATTTGAATACTCTCGTTGTCACAAAATCTCTCAAGTAGTTAATATGGTTGGCTTTATTAATTATATTTTTTAAATTTTTTCATGGTATTAATAAAATACTTGGTAAATAAATATATAGCATTATTTTGTATTATAATTTTGATATTTAATTAGAAAAATAGTGCACAAAAAAGATAATAGATAATGTAGTGAATATAATCAATTGATGAATTTGAATGTAAAAATTTTTACATTTGAGAAAAATAAAGACAATATAACTAATGAAAATATTTCTTTTAATTAATTTATTGATAATTAATAATTTTTTTTTTCACTGAATAAAGACATTGTAAGGATAATGTAGGCGAATATAATCAATTAATAAATTTGAATATAAAGAATTTTTATATTGAAGAAAAATAAAGACAATATAACTAATAAAATTATTTCTCTTATTTAATTGATTGATATAACTACTAAATTTTTTTTTTTTTTGAATGCAATATAACTACTAAATTATTATTTATATAATTTAATAAGAGTAAAATAGAGTACTAATTATGCCAACTTTGATTGTGATGAGGTTCGAACCTAAGACATTTTTTTATTGAAATCAATGAGTAAGTTAACGGTGAATTACGGCAATTCTTAAAATTTTAACGGAATTAGTAACGGTGTGTGGGTATTTTAGGAAATTTAAGTGTAAAATTTAAATCTGATCAATCTTTTAATTAATCTGAGCCATTCATTTGATTAAAATCTGTGACCGCCATTTTTTTTACCCATTATAGGCCTAACTCTCTTGGGCTCTTATTAGTATAGTAGATATTCTCAAAGAATATCATATAATCTCTAAATTAAATTTTTAGCTATTGGAAAGAAATGTGAGATACCTCTCAATTTTTTAGGTAATTTTACATTACCTTGTCTTATTACTAATTTTGAGCTTTTGGCATTTTAATTAATTTGTCTTATTACCGTTATCTTATTTACATACTTTAGTTTTAAACCAAACACAAAAATCTAACATTCTCACATTCCGTGAACCAAACACCCCTTAAAACATTATCATTAGTGCATTTTCATGATTTTTTTGAGTTGAAAGTGAGAGATGATGATTTGGAGGAGAGAAGAAATAAAAGAGATAAAAAAAAAATTAATTTGAAAGAGAAATAATTTTTTGTGGGTCCAAGATGAGAGAGAAAAGTAAAAAAAATTCTCCTTCTTTGTGCATCGAGCGCACAAGGCA